ACTTTCCAATCACTGAAATAGAAATTATAAATTCCTTTATTTTCGTCACACAAAAATTATTGGGTCACTCTTGTTGATAAACAAGTTAAAGTTTTAATTGATACCTAATCTGCTCTATCCTCAAGCTACACTAGCGTCTGATGCGGATGTGACGTACATTGTGAAGCTTACTGATCCACCGGTTGGGCCCGAATCGTCAAATTTGGATGCAATGGATGACCTCACAGCATTCAGCGGTTTCCAATCGTCAACACCACCAGACATACTTTTGATCAACGATTCCGCCAGCTGGGTGAATCAATCAAAGATTGTACAACAAATGTTGGGTACCTTAGGGCTTCTCTGTCATCCAACGTGTCCGAAGATCCACGGGACACGATACTGTTGGGGCCCGGGAAGTCAACAGTGTCAAGCAAGTAAGTGTACCCTCCACGCTGACCTTGGGATGTGTTGAACATGTTGCTATTTCTTATTTATGTTAGCCAATTGTATCAATGATTCTGTTGCTTTATTCCAAGTGCAGTTACCTGGATACTATCACTCGAAAGCAGCGCAGAAGTTATAACGTACAATAAACCATTGGCTTACAACTGAAAGTTGCATTTCAAAACTTGACTGCTTTCACTGATCATGGTGTATATTGCGCCTGTCTGACTTATTCTCATTTTGGTTCACTATACGGACCACACTATGCGAATAGAAATCATCAGCTAAACTTAACTTGGCAAAACTACGGCAAACTCATTGATGATGCGGTCTCAGCTGTAGAATAAATGGTTTTAATCAACAGATGCAACGCAAGCAAACTAGACTATTGTAGTTGCTCAACCCGTTGCGAAAAACTGGCTCCTAATGAGGTTGGCACGGCTTTGGGGAAAGTGTATATCAGTCCTATCAGAGCCAAAACCAGCCAGATCTGAACAGATGTCACTTGGTAATTCTAGTCAGCCTCGATGTCAGCAGATTGGCCCAGTAATCACACACACATACACACACATATGCACACACGAGGGTTCCGTAGTTCAAATCCCTGCCAAGTTGATGGATATGCATCACAGATGAACTACTCAGATTCAAGTCCACTGCTTCCTGAGTTTGTTAGTGAGTGAAATGAAGACTCTGCGTGAAGGAGAATTCTGAGTGATCGATTACTCGAATTCGATAGCTGATCAATAGTGAAATAGAAGAATAATCGGACTCCATTAAAGATATGGATTGAGTCAGTAAATGAATGTTTATATCGGTTAGTACAAATCCACCTTCCATTGATGAATATCAAGTTCTTGCACTGATAGAATTTACAATTGATTGCTTGAAATGGTTGTGCCTAGTAACTGTTGCTGAAAGGTAACACAATGTGTGATCATTGTGTGAATTGTGATGTTACGTACTTATTCTGTTAGTTAGTAGGTCACTGTTTATATAGGACGGGATTTATTTGATTTAGTTATTTCATCGCCTTGATTTATTCCCGCTGAAATCTTTTTTTTAAACTTTGTAAAAGAACTAGATGTACAACTTGATATGTGCTCACAAAAAGCGTAATAAGCCCGATAATTGAAGGCCACGCCACCTTCTGTCGGAAAATGATGAATATCAGCATTCTATGACTCTGTATCTCATTTCAATCTGTGAAGTAATAAAAAATCTTTGTGAAATTAATATATGTTATGTCTGAGTTAACAAAGATCTTCAGCCCGATTATGTTGGCCTCAATGTTATATATAAGCATATACGTATTTCAAATTGGGCATCGATGATCAGCCCTTTTTACTTTTCTTTTTAACTCTTCTTACAAAATATATTTTGATATAATTTTCACGAATTGGAAAGTGTCCAATAATCATAGAATCGGGTACATTCATGTGGTCGTGATGGAATTCGAGCAAGTGCCCTCCGGGACGATAATATGGTGGCCTTTACCACTCTACCCAACGGATGTCATACATCAATACTCCAACGGTTCCCAGTAAAACCTCGTCAATCAATCAACTATGTGACCGGTGGTAGATTCATATCATTAGTCTTGCAGGGTTTAGAAAAATGTTTTTTCCGCTTGCCGGAACAAACCAGTTTCTGCAAGTTTATCATCTTGGCCCAATTATTAAAACCAAACATCCAGGCGGGTTATGTGCAGCAGTCGGTCAAAAAAACATCAAGCTGCTTCGTTCATCTCGCAATGTGAATAAGATTAAGATCCCTCTCTCTCTCTCTGAAGTCTAGAGTTCATTTCAATTCTACGGATTTTAGAAGATTTCGGTTATTTACTTTAGCGTGCACAAAAACAAACAGTGGATTTAGGTTGCATGAGAGTAAATACAGAATGTAAAAGGGAAACTGATAAAAGGGTCGGATCAGCTTCCCGATGTCCAAGTGCGTAGTATGCTTACGTTCTGCCTGTGAGGTCCCGGGTTCGCGTTCCCCAATTGAGTCGATGGATTCATGCACCGCTGATAAGACTCATCCAGGTCAAAATAACCGTTCAATTCTTCCTAGCTTTCAGTCCACACACTTCATATCCCCGGCGAATTTCCTTGTGAGATTTAGTTTGATAGAGTGATTTTACGACAACAATGACTAAATATCTATGCATACTATCGATGAAATGCAATCAATGAAAGTCACGGAGAAAATTGTGACTGAAAATACCCGTTCCAGTTGTGCTTTCAAAAGCAATCTTTTGGAACTTCGACTGTTCGCGATCATCTCTCGCAAACCCGATGAAGTAGAAAAAAAATGCCGAAAACCATCAATGAGATAGATCAGGACAGTTATTTCAAATCGAGGCAAGAAGCGCTTTATACACTGAGCGGATGATTTTATTTTAGCCTATTATTGGATTGTGATTTACTAGTGAGAACTACGATTTCGACGGCCCTCACTCTCCCATGATTTACTGTCCATGCTCCAACCCAGTTACACATGTGTACCCATACAATTGTGTTGGTCAAAGAGACACCAAAAGCAGTCTGTCTGCCACTTTATCCTTTTATCAGCACAATATGCCAATATGCTTAACCAAAGACAACAAACATGGAAATATTCAGTGGACCATTTCAGCCATAGGACATGATAAAGATAATTGTGAACTACCACGAGTAGAATGATATTAACCNCAGTTCACAAATGTCAGGTTCGTCTTTGTGACGGATCGAACTGGTGCTACCGGGACCCGAGCAACGGACATCACTCATCACACAATCGAACCGGGGATAACGTTTTGGAGCATTGTTGTCATTCAGAATGTGCCGCCGGATGCTCTGGTCCGAGATCCACAGATTGTAATGTGAGTTGCTTGTTTCCGGTAATAGGATCATTCGCGAATACACAAAGCATCAATTGGTTACATTTTGGCAGTTTAATGGTTAAGGAAGTAAGTTGGGTTTGAAATCATGCATCAGGGTAAGGGTAGTAGTGACCGAGCTGTCACCAGCAATGGTGGTTTGCTGCTTGTATCACATTACACTCTTTTAAGTCGATTCTTCCATTGTCTTGGAGCTTATATTCAATAAAATCGACAAGAAAGGGAAGGAAAAAGCTCATTCCAAGAATCAGGTGGTTAAAGATATGGATAGAATATGGTCCGTGGCAAATAGCGATAGATTGTACGTGATTATGCAATGCATTGGATGTAAATAGTTCATCGTATGATAAGCATCGTTACACAACCGTTTTCAGTTTAGGGTGTCACTTAGTTTACAAATATGGAAACAAGAAAAATCGATTTGGAATAACGTGATGCTGGACAAAAAAGAAGATGAATAATGTTGCTGATCACACAACTACAGTAAGGTGTGTCACGGTGAGCCTTTGTACGTACCGATCGACCTTTAAATGGCTGTGTCAACCGCCTTGGCGAAACGTAGGATCAAGGACAGGCCAGTAAGTTGCATGTTGTTTTTAATTTGTTCACTTCGGTAGGTATGCAACCTTAACTTCCGCAATCCCCACATGGTTTAAGGTGGTTGTCTTGAGTACGGATTACTCATCCTTCTGGCACATCTTGCGAAAATTCTTTTAAGCAACCGGACGTCTGAAATGACCTATACTCTTAGCTTTCAATACGACGTATGTGTTTTCCTACTAGACTGAGAGGAGTGAAAACCAACATTTAGGTTGACGAACTGTTGACAGTTCATCTAGGGTGGTTGACTAAAAACTGTGATTCTAAACCGATTGAGAAAGGGCTCACAAACCACACACAATCATTTTCTGGGTACTCGCAGTGGTCAGTAGCCTGATTGGGCATCGAATTGTTTTGGGCACCTTGGAAGTCTGATTCCATCCAAAAGGTGCGATCTGATGAAGTGAACGTCATCACGGTTCCCCCCCCCCCACATACACACCACCCCGCTGCCTTGTGGTCAGGCTTGGGCTGACCGAATGCATCGGTTGTGAATACCCCAAAAGAATATACCTGTTTCTTGGGCTGGGAAACCTAGCAGTATATCACCCCTTAGGTAAAATGCGAAATCGTATTTTGCTGTGCACCTTATTGAGCCATAATTTGGTTGTTATATATACTAATGATGGTGGTTTACTGAGGGTTCGTTATATTACAACTGATGTGCCATCGTCCGTAGTCGAAATCGAGAAGTCATACTTGTTTAAAGTATGTAACGAATAGAAACAAAAACACAATTGGATCCAATCATAGATAGTTGGCGTCTGATGAGCCAATATAATATTCAATTCCTTGAATAAGGCCTGAACCACTAAGTGTTGTGGGAAACAAATCTGACGAAAGTCAGAGTGTCGCAGGAGTTCTATCACTGCGTGTACATCGACACGATGATATTTCGGGAATAATAATATAGCACTGACAATAATGACAATAGTAATATAATAAATGTGATAAAACATATCTTGTTAGACTGATGGATGGGCAAATAGATAGATTCAGATAAATTCCTGTTCTATCCGTCAAAAGTGAAGTGAAAAATTCAGTGTCCTGTGTGTTTTTTTGGCAAGTATCTTGACAACCGACTGAAATAAATTTTGATTTCTGAAACTTTGCGGCACGCATTTCCGTTATTCCTCAGATCACTTACTTCGTAAATATTTGCCTGCAACCTGAAGACAAAGCGGAAATGGTATTTCAAAGTAGGTGCTATCCCCTCACCTATTGGTTTCTCCTTTAAAGGACTCTTATCTGGGGTTCTGAGACACTGTCCTCCAGTGAACGGTAATTCCAACCAGGTTAGTCAATTAGTGAGATAAATAAAAAAAAAACAAGTTCAGAGGGAACGAAAATGTCTAAAAGCATTCCTGTGAGACATTATTCAGTGTATTTGCATTGATAGTGACGGCACTTGATGGTGAAAAGTCTAAAGATAAAGTTTCTTTTCAACGATGAAACAATGCGAACAAAGCTGTTGTTTACCACATCCACATGATTACTTCTATAGGAATATCT